CGCGCCTTCCCCTCTGTTCCCGTACCTGTGCTGAAGGCTTGCGGTGGGGAGAAAAGCCCTTCTCCGCACCGCCAGCCTGGCAAGCGGTTTCCCTAGGAACGCATTAATTGATTTTCAATGCATTCCTATGGGAAACCGTGCTTCGCAAGACGAAAAATTCGCTAGACGACAAAAATTGCGGAACGAATTAATTTCGTCTTGCGGGGCACCACTGTATATGATGGATCCAATATCATCTTTCGTTTCCCCACAACCCCACCCCTGAAGCTGCTAGACTGCTGTTCTAGGCCACGTTAGTGGCAACCTCGCATTGACCTAATTCCTCATTTTACAGCACAAACCACCTCTTCTCCTTCTTAAATGGAAGTGACCCTATTCCACGCAGGCACTGCAACCTTATGCCACTGCCAAGCACCGGAACAAATCGTCCGCCAAGCCAGCAGCATGCAAAACGAAAATCCCCACCCAGGGTTGACTAAGAAAGTTGTCCATGCTGGGTTTAATTCATGCAATGGAAAAACCAGTGACTTTTTCTCCAGCTCATGGGAACATCGCCCAACTAACAAGACTAAAATGAGGACACATTTTTTCCTCTTCTGCTGACATCTCCCAAACTCACTCAGCACAGAAAACTCAAAGCACCCACTAGCAGGGAGGGTAACTGGTCCTGCAGAGAAGCTGGCCCTGTAGGCAATTTTTTTAGCCATCCCATGGACCAAAACATTTTAATTCACGGAGCCAGTAAGGGAATCCAAACTCAGCACGTCCAACGCATCCTTCCAACTGCTACAAAACTCTTCATTTTCTCCTAGTAAATAGACACTCTTTGTCGGTGTTCAACAAAAACGTTTAAATGAAACAGGCGTTCTTAGGAACTGGTTTGCTCTGAAGAATGAACAGGGGAAGAAACAGAAAAAGACCAGCTGACTTGTACACCAGCCCCAACAAGACATTGATCAGAGAGCAACAGAAGTGCTTCAGTCTTGTTTCTAACTATTGCACCCACACCCAATAAATCCGCTCCCAAGTGTTGCAAGCAGTGCTACTCCTACTCAAGAACAGACTCTCATTGAAATCCATACAACTAACTCAAGTCCACTAATTTCAACTCGTCTTCTCTAAGTAGAACTCAGTTGGCTGCAACCCCAAAAAAACAACACCAGGTTGGGAGAACTGTCTCCAATCCAAATACTGAGAAGCATTTTCTGCTACTTTTGTCAGGGAATATCGTGCTTTATTAAGCAGGACCGTTTCAACGCAACAGTTTCATGCTAGGAGATAAAGACACTTCCTGGACACAAGTCCTCCTCTCTATTCCATCTTCATGGAGGTGATGTTTGAGGGGAGAGCTTGGGAGGGAATAGACTGAACCAGGAGCTTCTTAATGGAGGGTTGCCGTATGTCTGGTATTCAGCCCCCTTAAGCAGTGTCCAGGCGGAAATCGCTGAAATGTCTGGGAAAATCCGAGTGTATGGCAGCCCACGTCGGTAGAGTATATTGGTTATTTTCATTTTTTTAAAAGCAACCCTACTTAATGAAAATATCTACCAATACTAGTATATTCAAGAAGGTAGAGGTTGCCCATGATACTTAGGGGGGCATTGCCTCTAAGAGAAGACAGGGCCCCCAATAATCTTGCCCCCCCCAAACTTTTATCTTATTAACATGAAATTTTGAAGGCAGATTACACTTCATAAAGTCCCAGTATCAACAAAACCATCTTCTAGGAGAGAAGGAGGGGAATCAGCCACAGCAGAACAAAAAATGTTACGTTCAGCAGAAACTAAAGTCAGTTACACAGGGTGGTTAAAAAAAAAATCAGAATCAAGCTTCTCCAACTTATAACTGGGGGGAAATAATAAGGGACTCCCAGTTTTCATCTGTATTCAATACCCCCTTAATCATCCCTTTGGGGAAGGAAGGCCACACACAGGCATATATTCCACCCCTGCCTGCTGACTTTCAAATCTTCTTTTTACCTGTCTAACAGAGAAAAGAGAGGCGCTTATGAGAACAGGCGAGCGAGTAAGGTGTCTCCAAGTGGAGGATCCCACATAGGGCATGGTCTGAAGGCACAGGGGGCTACCACTAACCAGGCCTGGGTTGGAGCAGTGTATTAACAGAAGACTCCTTGGGAACCCCATTGCCTTGGGTTCCATGATGGAAGAAAGCTGGGATTAAAAAAACCAACTCCCTACATTTTATAACATTACACTCACTTTTTTTCATTAACATACAGGGAAAGAGGAATCTGGAAATGACTAAAAGCCTGAAGCTAAAACAAAGCCTTGAATAGGCCATGAAAAACCATTAAGAAAAATAATAATACTGTATCTTAATAATATCCATCCCCTACAGCTGTAGCCAGTCTTGAACCAACCATTCTAAAGAGTAGCATTATCTCTGATGCAATATATCACAATATTAACTGTTGATGGAGGAATGGGGAGGGAGGCTCCCCATATCTCTCCTTGCAGTTATAGGGAAATCCTAGATATACAAGGGAGAGTGCTGTATGCTGTCCTCTGGGGAGGTAATAAATCAACTTTAGAATTTTGCTGTATGAATTGTGGGTGGTTTATGCCAAAGTAAAATGCACCTGTAGAAGAAAGTTTAAAGCAGCAATGATGTAACCTGAAAAACCCTTACACATTGCCTTTAGCAGGGAGAATATTGCTACATAAACCATTAAGTAGAGAACTCTTCTCCCACAAACTAAACATTCCTTTGCTCAGCCTGATATAATCTGAGAATACTGTATCAAACTTGTTTTCATTTCTAAAGAGGGAATAACGCAATAAAACTTCTGAGCGGGTCTCCTTCCCCCCAAGTACCCCTCAACTAGGCCAGGATGCAAGTAGCAGCACAATATGGTATCCTCCAATATGTGAGGAACATTTCTATATAATTGTAGATGGGTTGCCCCCAAAAGGATGGAAGCACCGCATATCCCCTCACCTTTAATGGAAATCTTGAATATAAAGAAGGAGTGTGAGTTATATGGTGTACTGCAAGAATGTAATTTTTTAAAACAGAAAAAGAGAGGATATGATTACATAATTTGGAATGGGTTATACAAATAGCATGCATAAGATGTGGTGGGAACAATCCACTGCTTGCCCAACAAATCTCAGCTGTAGTGAAAAAACAAATGTAGTATGATCTATTTACTCTGAAACTAGGTATGTTTCCCAGATGGTTAGCTGGCTTCCTATGGAATAAGCTTTTTTATATATAAAAAAAAGTATTGTGGAATTTGAAAGCTGGCTTATTGGGACATATAAGCTTTGCTAGGCTTCGGTCCACTTCATCAGATGCCTCTAATGAAGCCCATTAAGACTTATTAAGACTTAATAAATTTATTGGCCTTCAGTGCTTCACAAGACTCTTTCTGCATGTCTATATATGGGCTGTATCTGGCTAAGTCACCCTCAGTGCAAACCTACTGACATCAATGCACTTGGCTCATTTGAGTCCATATGATTGCAATGGGCCTACTCTGCGTATAACTTAGTAAAATGCAACTGTGGGGGGCGCATACTGCACACACCCATTATATATATATATATATATGCGCTCTGGGAGTATATGCACACAGATACATATATAGATATATGAAGAACATGACTACATAACTATAAGCCACTTGGAGATTTTATTGCAACCAAGCAGTATATAAATTTGGTGAAATCAACAAACAATAAATAATGGTGGCAGGTTACGCACACTAAATGCATCCCCTCACCTGTGGTGCAAATCTTGAATGGGGCCGTGATACTAAGAAGCAGCATCTTCAGCATCAAAACACAACTGAATATATAGACATAAACTCAGGCATAAACATATACTCCCTCTACACATGTATGCTAGTGTGGAAGCTGCGAAAGAACAGTGCTAGTGATAAGGCAGAGTCTGAACTGAACAGAACTGAACCTATGCATAAACTCAGGAGCCACAGACCCACAGGGGGAAAAACAGGGAAGAGATCTAAAATTGGGATTTGCAGGTAGCTGGGGTTAGACCCCCCAAGCATCAGCTGTGGCATTTGATGAGTCTGAAGAACAGAAGTGAATTATATGCATGCATGGGTATATATACATATGCATATACACACAGGCCTGGAAATAAAACTCTGGGGTGTACAGCCTCACGCTGCACACGTGTTGGTGTGCACACATGCAAACGCATGTGGAGAAAGGGGGGAGAGGATGCTCTGAATTATATGCATGCATGGGTGTATATACATATGCATACTGTCTATCTATCTATATACACACGCAAATAAAACTTTGGGGTGTACAGCCTCACGTTGCACACGTGTTGGTGTGTACACATGCACGCACATGTGGAGAAAGGGGGGAGAGGATGCTCTGAATTATAAGCATGCATGGGTGTATATACATATGCATACTGTATATCTATCTATCTATCTATATACACGCACACGCACACACACACACACGCATGCACGCAAATAAAACTCCGGGGTGCATAGCCTCACGCTATTGTTGGTGTGTACACACACGCATGTGGAGAAAGAGGGGAGCTGCAGGTGTGTGTTTTGGGGGGGCCGCCCCCCATACTCACACCTTGAGGATGCTGTCCCCTTTGCATGGGTGTATATACATATGCATATCCACACAGGCACGCAAATAAAACTCCAGGGTGCACAGCCTCACGCTGCACACGTGTTTGTGTGTACGTGTGGAGAAAGGGGGGAGAGGATGCTCTGAATTATATGCATGCATGGGTGTATATACATATGCATACTGTCTATCTATCTATCTATCTATACTACACACACACACACACACACACAAGCATGCACGCAAATAAAACTCCGGGGTGCACAGCCTCACGCTGCACACGTGTTGGTGTGTACACACGCACACGCGCGTGGAGAAAGGGGTGAGCTGCAGGTGCGCGTGTTTTCGGGGGGGGGTGGATGAGGGACCCCCCCTCCCTCCCTCCCCTCCCCGGCCCCGCCCCCCCGTACTCACACCTCGAGGATGCGGTCCCCTTTGCGCACCCCGGCGCGCTCGGCCGCCCCCCCGCCCAGGACGGCGCTGACGTGCTGCAGCGGCGCGTAGAGCTCCCCGTTGATGCTGCGCAGCTGCCCGCCCTCGCTGACTTGCCCGCGCACGTTGAACCCGTAGCCGGATTCCGACTTGACGATGCGGACCACGCGAGGCCCCGCCGGGGGGGCGGGAGGCGGCGGCGGCGGCGGCTGAGGGGGAGCCGTGGGGGTGGTGGCGGGGGCGACGGAGGAGGAGGGAGCCGGCGCCGCTGCTGCTGCCGAAGACGACGACGACGACGACAAGGAGCCCGAGCCGCCGCCGCCGCCTCCCCCGGAGCTGCCGCCCCTCAGCGGGCCCGGCAGGACGGAGCGCGGCAGCCCCTCGCTCCCCTCGTCCGCCATCTTGGCGCGAGCAAGACGCCGCCGCGGCTCCTGGGCCCCCCGCCCCCCCCCTCGGAGAGCGCGAGCGGTGTCACGCGACCGGCCACGCCCCCTTCTCCCTCCGTCTCCCTCCGCCTCCTTTCCGGCTCGCCGGCTTCCGTAGGCACGCACGATGACGCATGCGCACAAGCGGGCGAGCTGATTCCGCGCGCACATAGTAGACCCAAACTCGGGTCGCCAGCTGCTTTAGGACTACAGTTCCCATCATCCCCGACCACTGGTCCCGATAGCTAGGGATGACGGGAGTTGTAGTCCAAAAAACAACAACAGCTGGAGCCCCAAGTTTGGGAAACTCTGGTCTAGTTAGTGTACAGTACAGTGGTACCTCGGGTTACATACGCTTCCGGTTACAGACTCTGCTAACCCAGTGCTTCAGGTTAAGAACTTTGCTTCAGGATGAGAACAGAAATCGTGCTCCGGCGGCGCGGCAGCAGCAGGAGGCCCCATTAGCTAGAGTGGTGCTTCAGGTTAAGAACAGTTTCAGGTTAAGAACGGACCTCCGGAACAAATTAAGTACTTAACCCGAAGTACCACTATACACAAGCTGTGCAGCGATGTAGCTGCTCACCTCTAAGGTTCAACGACAAACGTGTTCACTCTTTCCCATCATCCCCGACCACTGGTCCCGCTAGCTAAGGATCATGGGAGTTGTAGTCCAAAAAAACAGCTGGAGACCCGAGTTTGGGAAAACTCTGGTCTAGTTAGAGTGAAGTCAAATGGGCCTTAGAAAGCACTGCAAATAACAAGGCCAGTGGAAGTGATGACATTCCAGCTGAACTATTTCAATTTTTTAAAGCTGATGTTGTTAAGGTGCGACACTCAATATGCCAGCAAGTTTGGAAAACTCAGCAGTGGCCAGAGGATTGGAGAAGATCAGTCTACATCCCAATCCCAAAGAAGGGCAGTGCCAAAGAATGCTCCAACTACCGCACAATTGCACTCATTTCACACGCTAGCAAGGTTATGCTTAAAATTCTACAAGGAAGGCTCAAGCAGTATGTGGATCGAGAACTCCCAGAAGTGCAAGCTGGATTTAGAAGAGGCAGAGGAACCAGAGACCAAATTGCAAACATGCGCTGGATTATGGAGAAAGCTAGAGTTCCAGAAAGACATCTACTTCTGCTTCATTGACTATGCAAAAGCCTTTGACTGTGTCGACCACAGCAAACTATGGCAAGTTCTTAAAGAAATGAGAGTGCCTGATCACCTCATCTGTCTCCTGAGAAATCTCTATGTGGGACAAGAAGCTACAGTTAGAACTGGATATGGAACAACTGATTGGTTCAAAATTGGGAAAGGTGTACAACAAGGCTGTATATTGTCTCCCTGCTTATTTAACTTATATGCAGAATTCATCATGCGAAGGGCTGGGCTGGACGAATCCCAAGCCGGAATTAAGATTGCCGGAAGAAATATCAACAACCTCAGATATGCAGATGACACAACCTTGATGGCAGAAAGTGAGGAGGAATGAAAGAACCTTTTAATGAGGGTGAAAGAAGAGAGCGCAAAATATGGTTTGAAGCTCAACATCAGAAAAACGAAGATCATGGCCACTGGTCCCATCACCTCCCGGCAAATAGAAGGGGAAGAAATGCAGAGATTTTTTACTTTCTTGGGCTCCATGATCACTGCAGATGGTGACAGCAGTCACAAAATTAAAAGATGCCTGCTTCTTGGGAGAAAAGCAATGACAAACCTAGACAGCATCTTAAAAAGCAGAGACATCACCTTGCCAACAAAGGTCCATATAGTTAAAGCTATGGTTTTCCCAGTAGTGATGTATGGAAGTGAGAGTTGGACCATAAAGAGGGCTGATCACCAAAGAATTGATGCTTTTGAATTCTGGTGCTGGAAGAGACTCTTGAGAGTCCCATGGACTGCAAGAAGATGAAACCTCTCCATTCTGAAGGAAACCAGCCCTGAGTACTCACTGGAAGGATAGATCCTGAAGCTGAGGCTCCAAGACTTTGGCCACCTCCTGAGAAGAGAAGACTCCCTGGAAAAGACCCTGATGTTGGGAAAGATGGAGGGCACAAGGAGAAGGGGACGACAGAGGACGAGATGGTGGGACAGTGTTCTCAAAGCTACCAGCATGAGTTTGACCAAACTGCAGGAGGCAGTGGAAGACAGGAGTGCCTGGCGTGCTCTGGTGCATGGGGTCATGAAGAGGCGGACACGACTAAACAACAACAACAGCAGCAGCCTGTGTGGTTCCCTAGGCCGAGCCAAGGGAAAAGGCGAGGAGGGCAGGGATCATGGGAGATGTAGTCCCAGGAAGGAAGGGTGGCTGTATGGTAGTGGCGCCTTTTCCAGGGGTTGATGGACTACGGCTCCCATCTTGCTCATCGGCCCAGCTGATCATTGCCCACCAGGCCAGCTGCTGGGGGAAGATGGAAGATGCAGTCCAGCAGCCTCTGAAAAGCCCACCCCCACTGTTTCTATCTGGGACGCTAGAAGCTGCCCAAGGTGGCCAACAGATAGATATATCATCTAAAGAATTGATTAAAATATTGTTATATATATATATGTTTCCTTTTATATATTGTTGGAAGCAAGCCATCCAGAGCATCTAGGGCAACCCAGTTAGACGGGCAGGGTGCAAGTAGTAAATTATTGTTATTGTTGTTATTGATATTATTAATTGCACATTTCTTCTCCAAGGCGCACAAGGTGGCATACATTGTTCTCCCTCTCCATCATTTAATTCTCACAACAAGGTTGGTCTAGACTTGAGGAAGTAATTCGCCAAAAGTTTTAAATCTTTGAGGTTTTACTGTGCTTTTTTAAGTGCTGTGAGCAACCCAGAGTGGATGATGATGATGATTAGAGTGGCAATTTGAACTGCTATACAAAAATCAGGTCCTAGTTAAGTTACAATGAATTAAAATGCTTTGAGACTTCAGTGCTTCACAGCCAGAACTGCCACTGACATCAGCAAGGAACTGCTGCTCTGAGGCTGTGTACATAACTCCCATTTAAAGGTAAAGGGATACATGACCGTTAGGTCTAGTCGCAGACGACTCTGGGGTTTACTGGCCAAGGGAGCCGGCGTACAGCTTCCGGATCATGTGGCCAGCATGCCTCAGCCGCTTCTGGCGAACCAGAGCAGCGCACGGAAACGCCGTTTACCTTCCCACTGGAGTGGTACCTATTTATCTGCTTGCACTTTGACGTGCTTTCCAACTGCTAGGTTGGCAGGAGAGCAGGGACCAAACAACTGGAGGGGATTCGAACTGCTGACCTTCTGATCACAAGCGCCACCCGCGTTTTACTCTGCATCAAATGTACTCCCAAGGTTAGCCACGATTCTATGAAATCCTGCATTTCCCCCACAAAAACAGCTTTGAACGAAACAGAAAAAGAGAACGACATAGCTGTGTTTTAAGCTGGTGAGGTGTACACAGTCTATGAGCCTTTTTTGGATAAAGGATTGGTCATGAAAGCCGTAAAGAAATCCTAATAAATCCAATAAAAAGGTGGAGAGACTTGCAACATTAGAAGCAACAGTCATTACCATCTAGTATCATATTGCCTCCCGCCCCAACAAGACCATTAAATCCAGCGTCTAAAATCACTTTATTGTCCGAGCTTGAGGAGAATGTGCATCCCGCCTCCCGTGCTGGAGCTACCAACCCTCATAGGAGTTTAACCCTAGGGGGGGAAATTGTTACAGGATTTGCAATTTTGGGCAAGTCACATCCAAAATGAGGGAGAAGGGGGGGAATGCAATTCCCTTTCCATGCGCTAATAAACATTAGGCACTGCATGTTAATTAATGACCTCAATTATTAATAACTCATTAATTAGAGCCTAAATCCTCGTCGCGGAGCTTCATGGGAATTGCAGTCCAGGGCAGCCAGTAAGTCTAAAACGGTTCCCTGGGCGCCGCTATGCCAAGACTGCGCACGCGCCTTTGGCGCAATGCCTCATGGGAGTTGGAGTTCAGAGATGGAGGCAGGCAGGCAAGGACACGCCCCTTTGGAACGGCCGCTGCTCCAAGGGGGAAAAAAGTTAGCTACGTTCTCCGTCATCGCCCGGCGTCAGGGGAGGCGCGCCCCGCCTCTTCCGCGCAAGGGCTTTCGGGGGCTGTAGTTCCTCTGAGTGGGGAGTGGGTAACAGGTTGCTATGGGCAACCACAGGGCTGGGGCCTGGCTTGGTTCTTTCCCCTTCGAATTCCCCAGCGTGCTGTTGTTGTTTAGTCGTTTAGTCGTGTCCGACTCTTCGTGACCCCATGGACCAGAGCACGCCAGGCACTCCTGTCTTCCACCGCCTCCCGCAGTTTGGTTAGACTCATGTTTGTAGCTTCGAGAACACTATCCAACCATCTCATCCTCCGTCGTCCCCTTCTCCTTGCGCCCTCCATCTTTCCCAACATCAGGGTCTTTTCCAGGGAGTCTTCTCTTCTCATGAGGTGGCCAAAGTCTTGGAGCCTCAACTTCACGATCTGTCCTTCCAGGGAGCACTCAGGGCTGATTTCCTTAAGAATGGATGCGTTTGATCTTCTTGCAGTCCATGGGACTCTCAAGAGTCTCCTCCAGCACCAGAATTCAAAAGCATCAATTCTTCGGCGATCAGCCTTCTTTATGGTCCAGCTCTCACTTCCATACATCACTACTGGGAAAACCATGGCTTTAACTATACGGACCTTTGTCGGCAAGGTGATGTCTCTGCTTTTTAAGATGCTGTCTAGGCCTGTCATTGCCCTTCTCCCAAGAAGGAGGCGTCTTTTAATTTCGTGGCTGCTGTCACCATCTGCAGTGATCATGGAGCCCAAGAAAATAAAATCTCTCACTGCCTCCATTTCTTCCCCTTCTATTTGCCAGGAGGTGATGGGCCCAGTGGCCATGATCTTCGTATTTTTGGTGTTGAGCTTCAGACCATATTTTGCGCTCTCCTCTTTCACCCTCATTAAAAGGTTCTTTCATTCCTCCTCACTTTCTGCCATCAAGGTTGTGTCATCTGCATATCTGAGG